ATAATTATCTCATCTTCAGTCTCATTATATGCCTTCCTCTGACTTCTTAGTTTTTTTAATTTGCAATAATGTGATGAAAATTAATCTCAAACTGACCATCTTTGTTGCTTCTTATTTTTTCTCCATTAAAAGGTTGCATTTTAATGAGGCTGCTACTCACGATACAATGGTGCTTCTGACTCACCTGTGGACTCCTGGCTCCAGCAGGGGCTGACACTCATTGCTCTGAACATTCAAAATAGTGCATTGTCAGATTGGTTTTTTAAATTAAGGAGAAAGATCAGAAGAGATTAGGCTGTACATAAGTCAGCGACTTTCCAGAATTTCAAAACACATCAATGTTAGAAGAATTCATTTTAAACATTCCAGGTTTTGTGTACACTCGTGTAGAAACAAGACCTTCATAATTTTAAACATGCATCCTGAAGCTTTTAATGAGAATATTCCATAAATCAAAATTTCAGGGCCCTTTATTTAGAGCCTAGCATGGAGCATGGCTTGAAAAAGTCAAAAGGATTACTAAAAGAAAAATAAACATGAGTAATGGAAAAAATCAAATCACGTAGATGAAAAGGCTTCCATCCAGTGTGTGCACAAGAGAGCCCTTTGGTGGTCACCATGTGAGCGTGCAGCTCCACTTTCGAAGCCAGTGTAAGGAAGGATCGTTGGGCCTCCGCTAAGATCCTGGGTAAAGCCGTTTCCCTCCACTTGTGGTCTGCACTACTCACTACTCACTTACGTTCTCTGGATACAGGGTCCCCCCCCTTGGGTGACAGCGCTGTGATCGCACAGCCGTGGGAGATAGCACAGCGTCACGGCGCATTTCCCCTAATGCCTGTGTCCAGATGAGATGCGCTGATGGTTCCAGCGCAACCCACTCTCCTAGCAAGCCTCAAGGAGAAAAGAGGCATTGCTTGGCGATGTAATTTGGCAAACGCTGCAGAGTCGATTTTGCTTCTACATATTCATAATGCACCATGCGCTTCGCACTTTTGTTCTAATTTATTCATTTAATTAAAACGTGTTTCCGAAATTATTTTTATTTAATAGATCTTCCAATTAATAAAGACAAATTATGATGATGATACTGATAAAGAACAAGAGCTTCAGAAACTCAGCTTTTTCCTTGCTTTTCTTTGCCTTCTCGGTGATCAGCTAGCTCACTGTTCACTGCGTAGTAATCAATGCAAACGTATTTTCCGGGAACCATTTGTTGAATGAATGAATGAATGAATGAACGTTATGACGTCTGTCTGGTGGGCGGACCTTTGCCTAGAGCGAGTGTAGAGTCTGGAGGTGCCAGGAAGCCCGCAGCAGCGCGAGCTCCCCAGGTGCCATCGCTGCTTTTTGCTTGAGAACTTCAGTAGCTGGGAGCGCTGCGGTCGTGCAAACGCCTTTTCACGCAGCAGGATGAGCTCTCTATTACAATTCTGTAAGAATCCATATAAAATACAGCTTTAGGATTATTTAGCACTAAAAATGATTCTTTGGGAAACCACTGATGAGGTGGTATCAAAGACTGAAATCTTGCAAATATCCAACAGCAGGAAACCGTGGAACGACAGAATTGATGTTTGAGTATGACATCAACTGCTGGTCAGTTCTCAAACGGATTAATAAACAGACGCTTCATGAATCTAGGAGAAGTATGCAGTGATTATAGAATAAATTTGCTTGGAACTAATGCCAGGCCAGACTCATTTCCTTTTTAGGCAATGTTTAGTGGACTAGAAAATCTGGATAATGCTGTACCCTAGAAATATGATAGTTTGATTTTGGCGAGACATTTGCCAGTTTCTCATCTTTATGTTTAAAACAACACAGCGTTGTGAGTTATGGCAAACAAAAATAAAAACAAAAACTGGACTTGTTAGCAGCTCTTCCGAGGTACATGAACCAGAAAGGGCAGTGAGATTCAAAGTATTTAAATTCTTTTCCATTTCTAACGAACTGCTGGTTATTTACTACTTCTATAGTTAAGCCTTAGCAAGCGTCTCCCTTCCTCCTCCTCTTTGTGACCAATCCTGCTCCTTCTCATACTGTGGTTTCTCTTCAGATCGCGTAAATCCTTCTACCAATCCTGCCCCTTCTAACTCTGCTACTCGTATTTCCACCTAATCCTGTTTGCAATTACTTCTCTACTGATCTTATGGTTAGCTCATATTTGTTAAATATGGAATGGAAAGAATACGATTCACAACTCGATACTTTAGAAATTAGAACTTTTCGAAGGCATTATAAAACATGCTCTGTAATTTAGGGGGATTTTTTTTTCAACAGTCCATTCAATTGCTGTTAAATTAGCCAAAAATGTAAAGTGTTTTTAGACAGTTATACAAGATTGTTAAATTAGCCATTCAATTATTTGAGCTAGAGTAAATATATAAAAATATATCAGCATGCCAATTTTCACAAATATGTTTGCACACTGAATTTTATTCCCTTGTCCTCTGTGAGCAGAGTTAATTACACATATTTGAGTTCCAGCTGAAGAAAGCCTAATTTACCAGAAAGTTGGAGACTGCTGGTATGGGACTTTTATTCTTCTACTATAAATGAAATTTAGTATCTATTTTTAACCTTCTGTGTTTTATTATGTTAACTTTTAGAAAGTAGCTAGTGTTTATTTTCAATAAGGTTACTTTATATTATCCTTTTAAAACGCCCTAGGAGCCAGCCAGCCAGATATCTCAACAGACTAACGTGCCTGCTTAGGCAGAGTGCAGGAACCTGGGGACGTGCTATGCCGCCTCACCCCAGGGGGTGCACTGAGACAGTGATTGAGACCTAATGTGGTGGCTTGTGCCAGTAATCCCAGCACTTGGGAGGCTGAATACAGGAGGATCACTACAAGTCCGATCTACTTAGTGAGACCCTATAGACTCTGTACTAAATGCAGAAAATAAAAAGTAAGGATATCTAGGAATCATTACAATTAAAATAACTCATTCCATGAATTAGCTCTTCCCTTATTTTGTTCAATTTTAGGAGCATTTTATACCTCGGAGGGACCAAGGTAGCTGACCTCATAGTTCCACTGATGTCTCTCTGCCATCAGCCTCTGGCTAATTCCTTTGGTGCTCCTAACTCTCACATAGCTCGTGTCAGCAGAGCACACTGAGTTAGATTCATGCTGAGGTCCGACAGATCTGGAGCCCAGCCTCGTGACCGTGGCTTACTGCACTCCACTGCTGTCTCAGCATGTTCTTCCAACGGACCTGATATATGACTGGTGTCACATCTACTTCAGAAGAATGGCTGTAAGGTTGAAGTGTGGGAAGAGTGTAATTTGTGTGAGCCACTAAGAATCATAACAATTAATACACATATACTCAGCCATACTTTCTGTCTAAACCTTTCATAGCTGTAGTCAGGTCCACACTCTGGAACAAGATGGGGGAGGTTTAAAACTTCATTACATCTCTTATTGGTCATGTGGCTATTTGTTTATTTTCCCTGTGTCTCACCTATCTCATTTGGAATTGAAGAAAGATGGTCATTCATAAGGTTATTTGGTGAGTTAGATAAGATACATACTTGTGAAACACTTAGAACTTTGCCTGATCATAGCAAGTTCTGCTATTAGAAAAACTGTTTTTGTTTTTGAGATAGTCTTATTATGTAGATCAGGTTGGCCTTGAAATTATTATGTAGCCCAAGAGGGGCTCAAACTCTTGGTGATCCTCCTGCCTCAACCTTCTGAGTGCTGGAATTGCAAGCATGTATCACCACTCCTGGCTAGAATAACACTTAGAAGATTATTTTTATTCAACCCCAATGATAATATAAGATTTTTATCACAGCATTCATTTCTGGACACTTACAGTAAGGGACCAACTTCAACTTCAGAATTTATCTTAGATTATTCCTGATTCAAAACAAAAGCCTAGTGCTTGCTTCAGCAGTGCATAGACTAAAATAGGAATGATACAGAGAAGATTAGCAAGGCCCCTGCACAAGTGTGACACACAAATTCATGAAGAGTCCATATTTATAGGACCATTTTGTAGTGAAAAAATGCATATATATATGTA